TTTTTTACCGAAAATGACATAAAAATTAAAAGTAATACACAGATTTCGGACTGGAATATAAGAAAGGAAAATAATAATTCAATAATGATAATATATTATTTTGTACGGACATAAAAATTATTACACCATTGAACAATCATGCTACCCAATCAGTTGATGTTCCAAAGCTTTGTTATCATATTCACGACAATACGACCCAGCGGTGGTTCGTACATGTCCTGCCATTTCGGACAACACACCCACCGGTGGGTCGTATGCTTTCTGAAGTTTTTAATTTTGCTAATTCACTGTGAAACTTTCTAGGCAAACCGAGTAAACTTCTGCAACTACCTCTTGGAGTACTTATTAAAAGATTAACACTTCAGATCACAGATCAGTGACCTGAAAAATCACGCAAACTCAATTTTGCGATATATGCTCTGGTCCGAAATGGCAGTCATCGAAAAATCGGCCCTCTCGTGAATGTGTTATTAGAGCTAATCCTAATAAGCTGAATGCAGCCCTCTAACAAGGAAAGGATACCTACTAGGTGTTACCTAGTGACCGTGGCCTTTTGAAATGAAACGTATACCACTGAATGCATCTTGAAGCGCTGATTCCAAATCTGCTTTTAAAGTGCGGCTCATAATTATACGAACACCCAAAATTTTGTAAGTTTTCGGACTTTTTGGAAGAGACTCAAATAGCCGTTGGTACCACGCGATAGAACACAGCCGAAAACGGTATATGATCCATAAGAATGGAAATGGATGCTAATCTTGGGAGTGTTTTTGCGCCTGATGCGATTTTTTAGCGATTTTAATCATACGAACACCTCAAACAAAGGCCAATTTTTCATTCAAGATTGTAATCATTTGAGTCCAAATTTTTTGTAGAGTTACAGTAACAAAGTCTGACATATCTGCTACACACTGAACCCTGTGCATTTCAAAAGAGGACCGTTACTTTTTTTGAAGGCTCTATCTAAATGCTTTTGGAGTGATTGCGCTCCAAAAACATCCGTTCTTCTGTGGTTTACGCGCTTTAATTAGCTTCTACCAAAACTATGAGATAAAATAAGCTTTTTCGATAGGAATTTTGTTTGACGCTTGGAAAATCTTTGCGTTTTCGTGCCGTTTTTCAACCAAGTTTCAACCTTGCCCTAAATTTAGCACGATTTCGAGCATCAAAACTCAGCTTTTGAAGCCGTACAATGAAGTAAGCATATAGTATGTAGAACTTCACAAGACTTTATATTTGTATCGGTGGTTCCTTGGCTTTATAGTAGCCTGAGGCGATATAGCGCCTTTTGGAGTGTGTTATACAGAACACATAGCTAATAGTAGCTTTATTGAGTCAGACGACATGCACCCGTTCGTGCAGTGGTAGAATGCTAACTATAATAGGCGTGGCGATGTATTTCAATAAGCATCTGGTCAATAAACATACTCACATCACAGCAGGTCATGCTTATTGCATGACCTTTACGGTACTTTGACAGCAGATATCATACAACAAAGAAGGTGCCGATATTAACGGCACAATATTTGGCTAGAAAAAATCAGCAGCGTTGAGCGTTTGTTTTGGCCAAGCAGACGTCATTTCACCAAAAACACTGCTTTACTATTGCACTTAGCCTTTACTTGGTTTGTAGCTCCACAGCCTCAAGATCAGTTTTACAAAAATCCCAAAAACTTTGGCACAGAAACATCATCATGCAAACAATGCAGCTGCTTCATATCAAATGTTTGCGCAAGAGAGAAGCTGAGTTTTGAGGCTCGAAATCGTGCTAACTTTGGGGTAAGGTTGAAACGTGGTTGAAAAACGGCACGAAAACGCAAAGATTTTCCAAGCGTCAAACAAAATACCTATCGAAAAAGCTTATTTATCTCATAGTTTTGGCAGAAGCTAATTGAAGCGTGTAAACCGCAGAAGAGCGGATGTTATTTGGAGCGCAATCACTCCAAAAGCATTTAGAGCCTTTGAAAAAAGTAACGGTCCTCTTTTTGAAATGCACAGGGTTCAGTGTGTAGCCGATATGTCATACTTTGTTACTGTAACTCTACAAAAAATTTGGACTCAAATGATTGCAATCTTGAATGAAAAATTGACCTTTGTTTGAGGTGTTCGTATAATTATGAACCACTAAAAATTCGCATCAGGCGCAAAAACACTCCTAAGATTGACACCCATTTCCATTCTTATATATCATATACCTTTTTCGGCTGTGTTCCATCGCGTGGTACCAACGGCTTTTCGAGTTTCTCCCAAAAAGTCCGAATTACAAAATTTTGGGTGTTCGTAAATTATGAACCGCACTTTAGTATCTGCTGTGCGCTCTTCCGAAAGAAGTTATGAACATTTTTTGCTGCTGAATTTGCCTGTTTTGATGACAACATTCACCCATATAGTTATAATGTTCACTTACGCGTCAAAAGAGCGTCCAGAGAATTCTTTACTTAAGCTCAGGAGAACATTCTCCGATATATCAGACTAAAAAGCCTAGATACTGACGATTCTGACTGCCTAGGTCTCCTGAAATCAAAATGGAAAAAAGTCTATAACTTCGTTCACAGACTTGCACAGCGGATAGTGAACATAGACCTGGAATCACCGTTTAAAGACGCATCTAATGGTATGCATATCACTGCAAAAGGTCACGGTCACCAAGTATCCTCCCCATGTAAGATATGTTGCTGATTCAAAGTAGCTTAGAACTAAAGTTCCTGAATGTTAGTGTTGAGCCCGAATTCTATGGTTTAAAATGTACAGGGTGTCCCGAAGAAATGTGTGCATTGTTTGATCGTTGATAACTCTCTTGCTTCAGTGTCTTTCGCCAACCAGCTAGGTACCACTCCGTAGAGCTGGCTTCAACTTAGATCTACAGTATGCAGCGAATCTACGCGCTCTTTCGCTACTGTAGGATTACGGCTGGAACTTTGAAGAGGGTTGTAAGCCATTGAGGGTCCATTTTGCCCCAGAAAGGAAACCAAACAAGCCGAGAAACTTTTTCACCGGGCTAATATAAACCGCTTAGCTCAATCTGAAAGTGGTGGATTGCAGACATGTTTTTCCATGAGTTATTCTAGGTAAACCTAATATGGTTTTCCAATGTTTTTCAAAAATGTGCCCACAACACTAAAATATCAGAAAACTTGTAAAAAGTTGTGCAGTAAAATCAGCATGCGTTAAAACACTGTTACACAATTTTCTAGACTTTTTGGAAAATCTATTGAACAGCATTTCACAATGATGGTATGCTGAACCTATTACCGTAATCCTACAGTAAGAAGGCGATCGGTAACTCGCCCGGTACCGCAAATCCAAGTTGAAGCCTGCATTACGGAATGGTACTTGAAGGTCGGCGAAAGAATCTGAGGCAAGAAAGCTAATTTCCTGTTTTCAAATAGATATTTGAAATGCTACTTCCTTCGCAAAAAGCCGCAGCATTGCTTTTGAAGCCAGAAAATCGCTTCAGGAGCGGGGCTGTGCAGCAAAAATTGGACTAGGCCATGTTCTTCTTGTTCCTTAACACTTCATTATCGTCTGTCAATGCAGGAATGGTGGCACCGTCTCCCCTTAGTATTGCGACGCCATTGGCTGTCGCGATTCCCAACACGCACCCGGGTCTTCATGTAGATATAGTTGAGTACTGGGTGAGATTGTATGAAGGGCATTTACCCAAAACTGATATTTGTTGTCTTAGGGACACGTTATCTTGATTAGGGCACCCTATTGTAACTTTCATTTCAATTCTCTCAAATTTGCTCGCAATGCTTGCAAACTCTTGTGAATATCTTATATATAAAGCTGAATGTCTGTTTGTATGTATGTATGTCTGTATGTCTGTCTGTCTGTCTGTCTGTCTGTACGTATGTTCCGAATAGAAAATTCCATTTCTGAACCGATCCGGACCAAACTTGGCACACATACACTTCGGGCCCCGGCGGATGTCATAGGCTACTTTTCGTCATCGATCGATATCGATTTTATCGATTTTTATCGATTTTTTTGCTGAGTTCACCTACGGGGCTGGGAGTTGGCACAGGGGGGGTAATCGAGCATGGGGATTCCGAATACAATATTGGTTTTCAGGATTATCGATTACTTTTATCGATTTTATCGATTTTTTTGCAAAGTTTGAGCTAGGGGGCTGGGAGTTGGCACAGGGGGGTAATCGAGCATGCTGATCATCCCCAAGGGGGTGATCAGCATGCTCGATTACACCCCTGTGCCAAATTCCAGCCCCCTAGCTCAAATTTTGCAAAATCGATAAAATCGATAGAAGTAATGGATAATTCCAAAAACTAATATTGTATTCGTAATCTGCATGCTCGATTACCCCCCTTTGCAAACTCCCAGCCCCGCAGGTCAAACTTTACAAAAAAATTGATAAAATCGATAAAAGTAATGGACGATCCTGAAAACTAATATTGTGTTCGTAATCAGCATGCTCGATTACCCCCCTGTGCAAAATCCCAGCCTCGCATGTCAAAATTTACAAAAAATCGATAAAATCAATAAAAGTAACCGATAATTCTGAAAACTAATATTGTATTCGGAATCCCCATGCTCACTTCCCCCCTGTGCCAACTCCTAGCCCTGTAGGTGAACTCTGCGAAAAAATCGATAAAAATCGGTAAGATCGACATCGATCGATAACGAAAAGTGGACTGTGACACGCGCCGGGGCCCGAAGTGTATGTGTGCCAAGTTTGGTCCGGATACGGCGGAGCCGGGTAAGCCAGCTAGTTATAAAATAAGCCTCAAAAAACGTTCATCGTTCCATAGTCTTGCCACACAATTTGCTTTTCTCTCGCTTGCATGGAATTGCAAATGTCTTCGTGAGAATCTTCAGATGCTTTCGCATAGCTTTTCAGGGCGATAAAATGCATTTTCCCTAAACTATGTAGGAATATTCAAGTGAGAACTAAATATAGTAAAAATTATTGCAGGCGTGTCATAACCATACAGAGAACTTGACAGCTCTTGATTAATTGTTGAAACTAATGATTGACTCACCTCTGATATCTTCCTCGTTTTCTAAAGGCTTGAAGAGCGACATGGCATTCACAGATCCGAAAGAGTTACTGTATACCGGTTACAGTCACAAGAACTGTTATGCAAGCACCAATGGGACCAACAATGTTACATATTGCTGATTTCGATGCTGTTTACGACTTCAAAACTAAAGAGCCTGAGCATGTTTATCTAAGCGTGCTATGCTCAAAATCCAATGACATAGAAGCAATTATTGAATGTGTGCCTCATACGTTGATTTCAATTGGCGTGATAACATAGCTATGAAATGAGCAGAGCAAAGTCTCAATAAAACTCGTGATTCAGGGGTAGAGGAACGAATTTCTCAGTTAGGCGCCTCCGCGGACTGCTGCCTTTCAGTCTACTCTGATAATCGTGTGAGGACCAGTAGTCCGCGGAGGCTGTGCCTAATTGAAACATTCGTTCCTCTACCCCTAATTTCGTTCTTTCACATCTTCGATGTACCGATCAATAAAGAACAGACAACAACTAAAACTTCAACGTAACAACAAGCTAATAATGGTTTTATTATATATGTTCACAATCTCGAATACAAATCAATGAGCAAATCGGTATACTCTGACCAAATCTCTGCAACTTAAGACAACTTATCACACAAAATGCCATCAAAGTATCACACTACAGACTATTGTAAAGGCGCTCCATCATGGTTAGAAGAGGTATAAAAAAAATATAATCCTAGCGGAAGCCTAGATTCGATTAGTGGACCATGCAAAATTTTTGCCAATGTGTTGTATAGGACAGCTTTCTAAAAAATGGGTATAGGAGGCAATCAGTTTGTGATTGGCGTCCGGTCGTTGGCTGCATGGGCTCCATTGGCGCCATTGGCGCCATTGGCGCCGTTCGCACCGCCTCGCTCCAACATCTCCTCGGCATCTTTCTCGTCCGTAGGCACGCAGGTCCAAGGGGCAGGTCGGGCATCGGCCCAGTAGCAGAAGACGGCGTTACAGAGGAGCAGGAGGCCGGCGTGGATCAGGAAACAGTTTCGCCAGTCTTCGTAACTGGAAATTGAATGAATCTGTTCAGATAGTGAGGAAAATTTTTTACGGCAAAAATATTATTGAACTACATTTTCCTCCCGCTCTTAGGCCTCGGGCAGAGTTCGCGCGATTTGATCGTCGCGATTCAATCGCGACAAGACAACTGTTACGAGTTCATTGTATGCCGACCAGCTTGCATTTCGGTTGCGATAGTTTTCCAACCCGAAGATTTTGGATGTAAAATGAATATGAATGGAAATCGCGACGATTGAATCGTGACGATCAAATCGCGTGAACTCTGTCCGAGGCCTTATCGTATAGGAATTTACAGACCTTGCTCAAACTCTTCACTAAGGATGGTTGACCTATAGGCTGTCCAGTTAGATCAGTGTACTTATTCTTATCTGACATCTGATGGGGGCTTCTCACCCAAGCCATTGCCCGTGTATCAGCTCAAGATTTACTGGTGTCCGAGAAATCGACTATCCCACCCACACCGTACCCTTTATAGAAAATTATGTTCAGTAACCAAGAATGACGATTTACCTTCCGGAAAGGATCTGTTGCTTAGATAGGATCCCCAATTTCCACATGAAAAACCCAAGCGCTCACATTTTTCTGCGCACTTTCTGTGCAGAGTGGGCAGAACCCCTACTTAACCCCATTTGACCCAAACTTTTCTTTTGCATCTGTACAAGGATGGCATGTTTTTCTATTATTGTATGAAGGAATTATGTTTTCGCGATTATCTATGCACTTTCAATCAAATCTATAGAAGAAAACTTCGACTAATTTCTGGGCCAGTTAGATAAGTCAATGTTGTCATGAAGTGCAAAAGGAACACAACTGCAGCTTCTTTCTGATTTTGTGCTCTTATCAAAAGTGCGTAAACGCGAAAAAAAACTTCCAAGAAACTCACCTGTTTTCGGCAATGATCGCGTTTACAACGAACGGTTCCAAAAGAATTGTCACAGCCCAGATGTTCATGATCTGAAAACATATTTCTACTTGAGTTTTCATTGTCATGGACAATACCTGTGTCATGCCAAAGTGTCCAAACTGCCTGGAATGCAATGTAATGCATTTGTTAAAACCAGCAGTGTTCAATCCGAGCAAACTTTCAGCAAAAACCTGGAACGATTAGATTTCGTCAAAGGCCTCATAGCTGGTAGAGAACGTAAATCTTACAAGGACAACCATTGCTGCAACATTATGCTCTCGTCTGATGAAAGCTAAAACGATGAAGAAGAATGCGGATGCTCCAAGGGCCAGTGAGTTGAAAAGTCGAACTTTGAAAGTTTCATCGAACATCCTAGAGCAATAAAATTCATTTTTTGTGATGTTTTCCGTCCCTGCTGAAGCTCTTTTGCAAATAAACATACGTCAACTTGTCGCTGGTAACACCACCTGTAAGTTTGAGGAAGAACTGAACGACAACCGGAAGAGCGGCAAGGAAACCTAAAAGGCAGCAGAATGGGCTAGAACTTTTAGAATGTTGGCTCAACTTACCCGTCTTGAATACATTGTACCTGAGGTAGTCGTTCACATACTGTGGATTAAACATAGTAACGAGCTAAAAGACGACATTTCGGACATTTGGTCAAGATCGATATATTGTTCAAGAAACTATGAGAATAACTAAGTACCTGTACAGCTAGCAAGTCACCAAAAGCTGCGATCCATGCACCAATTAAAACTTTTGACGTCAGCATAGCTTTATATGGTAGTTTTTCTTTTTCAACCTTCTAAAATTTAAAAAAATTGAAGCGTTATGGGTACGGAAGAAGCTGTGTTGCTTTACAAACAGCCTGGATCTGACCTTTTTCCCCTTGCCAGCTTGTAGAAGTTTCAGCTCAGCAGAGCCAACGAACTTATGCTCTTCGGGTGTATCCTTGTAGAGAAGGATCCAGAAACAGAACGAGATGAATGTGAAAAGTCCATGAGCATAGTAAACAGACGGCCATCCCCACCTTGATGTGCACAAAGTGCCTAAATATCGCTTATAATTCTTGAGTTACAATTTTTCCGATGCGCCACATACCTGACACTGGCATGGTGAACACCTGACTGAGTTGGGTGCATCCAGTAAGTAGACCACAGAACAGTCCATGTTGAGTTAGAGTGGCCCAATCGGCAGTTACAGCTCCAATAACTGGGAAAGTAGCGGAGAAAGCAATACCCTATCAAACTTGAACATTAAATGCGATTTCCGTAACCTATGCTGAGCACTGACCTGGAAAGTTCTAAGAAGTAGGAAGTAGTTAAAACCATACTCATGAGCAGTGGGGATGAGGATAGTGGAGACTGGAAACAAATTATTTATCTTTATAATTGATTCAGTCAACACTTTATAATTACGAGTAAAGTGATGGCATGAATACAATGCTGTCTGATCTCCTAGGATCAACTACAGAGACCCAACTTCTTTTGTCCAGGGAGGAGAGAGCGGGGAAAGGAACAAAAACATAATTTCAAAAAAATTTTGAGTTGTCTCCCAAATCTTCGGTTCTCTTGCACTATACAAATTTTCTTTTCAAAAACTAATCTGCTTTCAAGTTACTGGAATTTTTGTCGGGAAAATCTCGAATCTGTGCTAAGGATATGATGCATAATATGCCTCATCACCTGTTTCAGCAAAAATTTGATTAAAAAAAATATGACAGCAAAATTTGACACTAGATAAACTGTTCTTGTTTTGAACACATGTAACTGTTAAACACATGGTGATGATATATAGTGTTTTGAAGCGGTTTCCGGTTCCTACCATGAGTTTGTTATGAATTATACAACATACATATTATGCAATAAAAATGTGTCGCAAGTAGTCAGTGATGAAAAACGATCAAAACATGTATAGGGCATTCGAAAAATCGTGATGATGGCGCGACCGCACGCGACACGCACGCATCTCCCGGTAACCGCATTTTCTAGGTCTTCATCTCTACTCAAATGGATTTTCTGCTTACGTATGACGGTATCTAGACATTGGAAGAGACTGAGCTAAGATTTCAGTTGATGCTGTTTTGTATGAGCGTTTTTTGCTCCTGTGGGCGCGAAGACTGTAGTCATATCGGTCGTCATGATTTTACAAATGACCTATACTCACTGTGATACCAAGTGCTAGCTAAAAATATGACTGTTTTACCCGGAAAGCCCAAGGCCAAAGCCATCTCCGAGGAGATTCTTGGAGTTTATCGAACAAAAATAGTACAAATCTGTTACTACCCAAAAAACCTCGCTACTGTTACACCAAGCTAAGTATCACGCTTCCTGGTCGAAAAGACTAATTTCCAAACCCTCTGCATTCCATCATTCGATAAAAAAATAGTCGTCCAGTGCAGTGTTGCTGTACGCTTCTTTCGCTTTGCACTGACATTCGCTTTATTGATAGATTTGAATTGTCAGATTTGTTCCGCTTTACAAAAGCATAGATTCACGCATGTCACAATGTATGCACTCTGAGTGCCGACAAAAAAGCAACAAAATTACTGCCGATATTAATCAACTTTAGTTCCACGATTTAAGTTGGCGTATTTACATTCTTACTACACAACGCTTGTGTTCTATTCAATAATCCCTAATGTTGGTATAGGAAGAAATTTAGAGAACTGTACACCGGTATGTATCACAAACGAGCAAATTAACGACTCGTTCGAGTTACCAAGACATTTTCGAACAGGTTAGTGATGTTAATATTACGACATTGAAGGTTTGTTTCAAAAGAAAAACTAAGGAATCCAAAAATCTGATGAAATTTCTTTTCTTCTCACCGACTTTGCTTAATGGTCTATAAGATTTTTTCGTTGCTAGGTCTAATCCTCAAACCCCCAATTTGAACTACATATTATGAACTGAAACAAGACGGAAGTCTTCCCTTCAAATTTTTCCGTTTGAATCAAATTCCTTTGTGCGATAAGCATTTTGTACTCTATATGTCTGCCTCTAACGCTTGTCTTCTATGGGGTTCCACAAACTCAATTTGCTATTCCCAAAAAAAACGGTCAGAGATGCAGAGGCTCATTTCGAATTCAAGATTTAATCTGCGAAAGTTATTGAATATACTCAAAAGGCAGAAGTACTTTTGTTATCCTACGCATGCTGTGAAATCAAGAGAAGAAATAGGGTTTTGTAAGTGTCGAGATAAAGACGGTGTTTGTCAAAAACGACTTGTACCTAACTGATTCAAGAAAAATGAAATTGATAAAATCGAAATGGGAGGAAGAGAAAGAGCTTGCGCATTTTTATAAACAAACTAAGAAAGCATATGCCCCTTTATCTACCATTTTGTGGTTCATTCCATAACGTTGGGCTCAGAAATAGCCACAGACAACTGCGGTCTTTGCATTTGGCAAGTAGCCAGGTGTTTATACTTCGCGATTTGAGTCTACAGCACTGGTGCACTGCGTCAAAACAAAGCACGAACGCACTATATAGAGAGCACATGTCAAAGATCTATGAACGACTGGCAAATGGCCAAGTCTCTCGGGAAATCGCGCGTATACGCGAGGTTCAGTCCTCAACGCATAGCGAAACGATAAGTATGGTCATTACAGTTATTGTCATATTCAATAACATACGACTAAGGCCTATGCCGGAGTAAAGGCAGCGGATCCACGGGAGGATTCAGTGGTGCCGTTCAGGTTCAACAAGGATGAAGTCGCCGGCGCGCCACGTTCGCGACCGGTCAAGGAAAGTTGCTATTGCGCCTTTGTCCGGCAGTAGACTTTACATTGAGCCAAAAGGCTATATTTCAAAGAATTATTGAATTCCGATTTTTTGAAAATAAAAGGGATCGACATGGGACTTACAGAAAGATATAATACCAGCTGACAAAAACACCCATTTCTTAGTGTAACGCTGGAACATGTAGGTGTACGGTATCGATGCCGCCAATGCTCCAATGGCTACACAGGCCTGTAGCCAACTTTGTTGAAGTTTGTTGTATTGCTCTAAAAGCTGCTGATAGATTTATGTGTTTCAAATCATGACCTTAAACATACTCGAAGCATCCAATTCGGCTGTCACTGAGTCATTCTTAGGTACCATACAAATTTTCGTGAAATTATATGTATTCATATTGGATAGAAGTGATGTTAGACATAAGGCGCTAGTGATTAGTATCTGAAAGTATATACTGTTTCATGGTCAGAAGATCTTACATTAACGTTAATTACTTACAACATAGCGAAATCCCGAACATGCCGTTGTTTTTCCAGGCGCTTCTTCTCCTGTCATCAAAGCGGTGGTTTGTTCGCCACCGGCTCTGTTTGCTGGAATTACAAACATTAGGAATACGTTGTGCTTGATGAGATTTACTATAAATCTTTTCCCGGTATTACTTAGAAAACCACTTTTTTTCAATTTTGATATGAAAGACGTTTTAGTTTCCAAGTATTAGAAGTATTAGGTTGGCACATAAGTAATGCAACTTTTTATATAACTTTTGTCTATTTGAACGTAGCGCATTCATTTTTTGGCATTACAAGGAATATGATGTAAGCTTCAAAATGCACACGTTTTTGCCGAATTTTACCACCTTATGTGAGGATTACGCTAGGTTTACGGTACTATAGGAAAATTTTTATAATGCATCAGATTTTGCTGAAACTTGGCCTATAGGGCTTATTTGACATGCTGATCATAAAAACGAGATCCGTCTCGCATGAAAAGGCTTCGTTCGTGAGATCAAAAGATGAATTTCATTCTAGCGACAAATGAATATGATATTCGTGTTTACTGCATAGGATTACCCTATAGTGCAAAGTTATAGCGAATTCTGACTTTTCGCAGCTTAGTTATTGACAAATTGCCTTCAGAACTTGACGCATTTGACTTGTTCTTCTCAAAGGCACCCCACCTTAATTTGTGTTTAAATTTCATTTCTCTTTCACTGATTCCAATCTGCCAACTTCCAGCTACATGCTGCCTATAATTGCTTTTTCATATGTTTGAATCAGGTTTCGTAGGGCTTCATGTTTGCCAAAAAATCGTGAAACCTCGATTTCCAGCAATTTTCAAAAAATGCTTAGATTTTTTGTACTACGTTATCAAAAATTGAACGGTTTGCGCAGACTTGCAGCTTACATCACGATCTACATGATGCCACAAAATGAGATTGCTACATAGAATAGGAAAAAAGTTACGGGAAAAGTTGCAAAACTTATATGCCAACCTAATAGCTAATCTTCCACCCTGTACCACCACCCAGCAATTTCTTGCAAAGAACGAGCTTATCACAAAGCAAAACAATTTCAAACGAATGGGCCTTTTTAGCACTCCCAAGACGAGTGCATCCAATTAAGGAATAGTAGGACTCAACAATGCGATGTTTACTAGAAAGCCTCTCCGCAAACAGCATCAGATATTTCTTCCCATCAATTCAGGAGATGAAAAAAACAGTCGATTATTTTCTGTGACTTGGTCATTGAAAGAAAGCATCATATCTATGAATTCATGAAATGTGCGCAATCTCAAAAATGCAGTGCAAATTACAACACGGTGTTTCTTGCTTAGCGATCACAAGCATACTACAAATGAGGACATTTTGACTAAACTGAGAGTACCAGCCAGAGTAGACGCTCAAGGCAAACTGCACTGATGAAACCCAAAAGCCGCTTACACAATTTGCTGCTTATGCATGCAAGTGATTTGAGAAAGTTTTTTTCTTTGAAAGCACTGCAAAATTGATTTGAGAAAGAACTTCTTCAAGCTACATACTGCATCGTTTCTCCGTAGCAGAGGTTGAAAAGCTACGCGCCTTCTTTTCGACAGACTTATTTATTTTGGAGCTGAATATGTCCGTTTTCGCCCTCATGTTTTGATCTCCAGAATCTTTGAAATAAGTGAAGTTTCCACTCATTTCTTATGCAGCATTCTCGCTTACTTCATTGTCATCGCACATAAACTGTCGAATACTGAGGGTAATGTCCCCATGGTTGTTATTATCAGGATCATCAGTTTCAAATGGAAATTTTCTTGTTTCTTGATAGGCATAGCCCCAGCAGACGACTGAGTTTTTTTAACACTTGTGCTTTCTCGCTCGAGTTCGAACTATGTTCTATAGTCAAAAAACATAGCGAGCCGCTAATTCAACGTTTTTGTGGAGAGGTAATACTAAAAGGGTAAGCCCTCCATTGGGTGGAAACATTAGACGACTCCTTTGTGCGCTATTGGTTGATTGACGCTCCCAACACGCCCATTCAGCATTCTCCGTGCTCGGAGAATAAGAAAAGCTATTTTTCAAAGAAGCGAAGCTTCGAATCAAGAGACTCAGGTACGATAGCAAACTCAATGTCCAAAATCTGCTAGAAACTGCTGTTTTTTTTTAAATTGGGCTTTCTAAACTTTCGATAACGGGTCAAATATGAAGATCAGTCTTTGCTTTTGATAATGATCACTCTAGTACGACCACTGCAAGCTTCTTATTGAGCAATCAAAGGCTTGCAAGTGTGGCAGAAGCCAAGTGTGGCAGAAGTTCGTTCTGAGGACATTCATTATTGATGCATATACATGCACACTATCACACGCGCAGTACTAGCAAATGATGTCACAGCTAATAAGGGAAGGTTGGTCTTAAATGCTTTGTTATTTGAATGCAGCTAGATCTATTCAGCTTTAGCGACACCAAAAAAATGATGAACAAGTTGCACTCTGATGAAAAATGCTACCTTCGATTCGTTGCGCACAAAGATTGCGGACTTATCGGCGCCTCCGTGATCAAGCGCTCTTTCGTTCCTCTTACCACCTGCTGTCTCTCCCACGCACCAGCTATTTTGGTCGTACGCAATGGCGCCCAGTCTTTGTGCGTTTTGAATCGACGATATATAGGCTTTCACTAAACTTTCCAAAAGGGAGAGAAAAGACGAGCAATTTGATTTCATGTTTTCATGTGATAAACCAACTCATTCAATACGCCAAAATTTACATACACTTCCTTTCTCCTTCATCGTCGCTCATTCCACCCTTCCATCCCTTATGTAAGGAATCATATTTTTATATGCTTTAGTTTGCTGATCTGTAGGTAATAAGAATATGAATCCCCATTCCACTGAAAGTGAGCGGGTACAGATGTGAGCTAGCTGGTCATTTGATACTAACCGCTTTTTTCTGCAGCGTTATAAACATGCTGAGTTGTCATACCATTCATCAAACACAAAATTTATTAGTTATTCCATTAAAGAATGTTATGTCAAGATTATGACGTGCTGCATCATCGAAGTCAGATTGGAATGAAAAAGCATTAAAGTAAATTTTATTGGAACTTTGTTTCACCACTCATGAGCAGCTATGTATTTTTCATTGCAGTTTTAAAGAGAATTCTCGGAATCCATATATTATTTATAAAGCATACTTCTATTCAAACGTTCGAGGTTTTGTGTTTGGTTTGCTAAGCATTGATTTTATTGAATTTATGCCAACCAATATTTTGGTCATTTATTACCCTCTAATGTAAATTTCAAGCATATATTTCACTTGAAATTTTATATGGATGTTTCGTTTTGCTACCTATGAATAACAAGAACTATGCGAGTCAGAGAGTAAACCAAAGAACTTCAGTTATATTTTCAAGGGATTAAACTCCAAAAAAAAACTAACCCCGCGACGACATCTTTAGTCCGCGTGCCGAGTATTACTGAAAAGAAAGCTTGATACAATATGCGAACGAGGTGCGAACGAGACAACAAAAACAAATCCGAGTATGAGATGTTTGAGGAGTAGAAGATAAATCAAAGACTGAGTAAAAATAAAAAGAAACAAAAATTCTTTAGGACGAGAATGGGTAGATTTTCCGGAAGGATCACAATGTAAGGCATTGGTTGCCCAATACAATGACTTCGATAGCCCAAGATTTTTCAGAACGTGGTAAAGGAGTCGAGTTTCTGATATAAAGCACGCTTTTACATCTACGTGCACATAGGTTGGTGCTTTTTGATTTTCAAACTATGCAATTATCAGATGGATCATGTATTGTAAAAGATACAACAATAAAGAAAAAACCTGGTTGAGATAAGCCTTCGACAGTAGCAAAAATGTGTTTACGAATTTTGGCGATAACTGCGAGAAGAAAAACTTCCCCACACGAACACTGGTCAGATTACAGCAGCTATAGCTGTTCCGCCAACATTTCCGCTCCTAATGGATCATAGTATTCAAATGCACTCGTTAATTACGCCTAGGAACAGTTGTCGCGCGTTTTTGCAATGCTGCAACGAAAAATTCTTTATTGCAGGATCCTACTGTATCAGGAACTGGAAGCGATGAGCAGTGGCAGAAGCCCGAAAAAATGCATTGCTCAGTGGAGCTCGATCGAATTGGATTATGGCATCCATTTGTCAGAAAAAAATCTATTGGCAAAGGACTAGAATAGGCAATTTTTTTCCAGCAGCACATCCTCACTTCCATTTGCGTCACACTCATTAGAAGTTGAATCATGGAATGCGAAGCTAGTGACAGCTTAGGGCAAAATTAGGTGATCATCTTTCTATCACAGAATGCAATGCACTGAGTTCTGCTGCTCAACATTAGCATATTTCAACTTTGGCGTTAGCTAGTTCAGCACCAAGGAATGCTAAGTACTCAGAGAACCACTTCAATATTTCAAACGCTGTTGCCCAAGAGGAAGAATGAACGCAGTGCACATGGGCAAATATGGGCAAAAACTAACATTTTAGGACTCCGTTGACATCACCTCTATTTTGCGAAGATGAGGAAAGCAGATGAAGTCAAAAAAAGGTCACCAAAGAATTAGGAATTGGAATGCTAGGAGCTACAACAATTTATTTATCGCATTTTGATATAGGTTGATAGCAGGAAGCAATTTAGCCTAACTTTTATAACCGCTCTTCAATCAAAGCCGTATGCGTAAACATCCACGTGTAACTCGAAACTGCCAAACACTGAAAGAAGGTTAATGGGTTCTTGGTCTTTTCTCAGCGGTAAATCAAGCTTCTTCGGGTTAAGGTAAATAGCCATTTTGGAGTCGTGTTGCCAGAAATGAACTAACACATATGTGAAACTAACGGTAAGTCAAGGAGAAAGTCAGTTCGGCAAAGCGTGATAAGAAATGGGCATATAAAATCTCTAATTTGGGCATCTTGCGCATTTTAACTTTGAATATTTCTTCATGAATAAAGAATCAGCAGAAGTATGCGGAAGCTGAGAATGGGGGCCGAGGTATGGCAATGATGTGCACCACGCACCCTTTGCCAAGCACGAAAACCAAGAGAGGTGTTCCGTCTTTTTATGCCCACGAATCATTCAAGCCCTGGAATGTGTCTAAGAAAATTTTCTTCAAAAAACTTGCACTGAAATGATTGAACTATTCGCTGCTTACGTATGACCTCTCTGTACATAACTGTAGTATTTTTTGCATGATTAATTGATATTGAAAGGGGATTCCCCACTACTTATCGTGACAGTCACTACATCAAAACTAATTTATCACCCTTGGTCATAAATTTTATTCAAAATATGCATCGTCCCCCAGCTCGTTGAGCACTGCGCTACAATTTTGAAATTACCTAAATCCTATAGATAGGGCCTCTCATCAGAATAGTCCATCTGCAGATAAGTTCTGACTTATCTGACAAGATTTTCAGGCAACTATAATGAAAAAAGGAATTATCTATAGGGCAGACTTATTTGGAAGGTTTATAGGGGCAGATTTTCTGGTCAAAAAATCGGAGTATTATGAGAGTTTAGGCTGGTTTCAGCTGTAAGAAAGCTACTTCATTTGCATTACCGACATCTGGACGGAGATGTTAAGTTGGCAGAGAGCTGGTAAACTTTGCGGATTACCGTATAATGGGGAATTACGAGTGGGCAGGAAGATTCAGTGGCTCACCAATGTGACAATCTTCCCCAAGAACTTGACTTAATTCCAAGTTTCATGGAACCCCGGTCTTGTTTGCCCTTTGTTTTACCATTCCTCGCAGTGTTTCCAATCTCAACAAGCAGGAAAACATTGTACTAAGAGAAAGCAAATACATGGACAGCTTGTAACGAGACAAAGCAAACACGCGAGTTACAGTTGTACTACTACGATGCTGCGTCTGTAATCCAAACATCACTTCCCCTCAAACCAAAAATTTTCATTAGATTCCTGTGGAACCTGCGCATGTGCACATGGAACCCAAGTCGCTCCACTTTCCCATTTTCCACGTGAAGAACACAAAGTATCAGATGGCAGTTTTCCTGGGCTGTTTACGTGGTCTACAGAAGATCGAACGACATCTGCGACACGTGACAATCGAGATGATGGGAAATTATCATTTTCGAGAACTAAACCATAGAACAATACGATTGCCTCGTTACCATTTTGGAGCGATAGATTTTCTTTGCCAGCATCAGAATGAGAGCTAAGGAGATCTCCAAGAATTTCGAAAATCAAAAATCATTTTACACAAGGAAAAATTCAACTAAAGAGACAAGAATATCGTCTAGTGCCCTAAGGTGATTTAAAAGTGCAAAAACTTTGAAAGGACTAGCCGTTTACTACCATAGAGGACAATGAGGCTAAATACGAGAAACCCTTTTCACGAAAGTGGCGAGCAATTATTTGAAGCTCAGCACTATAGTCGGCAGAGGAGTCCCATAGATAGATGTTATAAACAACTAACTCTAGAAGTAAACGAACGTCACAAGCGCATCGGGAAAAAGACACCCGTCAATACTTCAAAATGTGGGTCCCTGACATGACAGGAAGGAAGAGAGGATCATAACAATGAGATGAACGAGAGTTACGAAAGATGAAAGGTGATATGGCAATGATGCAATCGCATCAGCCGGTACTGAACGTCTTGCACTAGACACTGAATCTCATAAAGTCGGAAGCTGAGTTGGTGTAAGAGCCAAATGTTCAGCGCTTTTTTTTCGTGCCTATGATGCAATTCTAGAATCACGGCTTTATCTGCTTCGATTCTATGTCACAACAAAAGTTCTGCGCACTATGGGAGCTAGACTTGATTGTTTGGGATGGACATCCTGCCCTCGGGAGCAGCAAATTCACACAAAAGGTCATTTCGAGTAGAAACGCCTTCGGCAGCGCTCAAACGAAGCTCGACGACGTCAGCGTCGAAACCAGCAAAGGCGAACACACGGCACGTGATAGACACTTTTAAGTACGCACGGAAAGCCGAAGTGGGTAGGGAAGGCAGTCGATGTGCGCAAGCGGGGAGCTGGCTAGCTAAAAAGCAGCGCTTCGGAACATAGATGGAAATGTGCACTGAATAGCTACATACACACACGTTCCGAGCACAACACTCACACAGCCAGCATAACAAGCTGTCGATTACATTGATGTGCAGTCCATGAACACATACACTAAATTCTATATCAGCACATGGGGGCGATGATGCAAAAGCACCACTGATACCCTCCGTGAACGTCGATGCACTTTGATCGAGCGCTGGAGCAGATGTTCGTTCAAGTTCGTCCGAAGGGCGGTTCGAGATGTCATCAGATCATTTCGCTCCGCCTAACAACATCGGAAGAACATCTATAGTCTTGCCATTTCCGGCTAACATGCTTTAAAATCTAGCAAAGGGGCATATGCAATAGCGAAAAGGAAAGCGATAGACGAACAGGGCACCGTAACTTTGCCACATGGCTATCGAATTGTAAATTTAAGCGATAGAAAGCTGTTTGCGAGGTTTGCGGGGACGCCCGTTCAAAAGCACAATTGCCCGAAAAAGTCGTTTGCGTGTGTTTTAGTTGATTGTGGGCATCCAAGCTACGTCTGTCTCTGCACCACTCGCCTAGAAACAAACCACATATGGTCTATAAATAATTTGATTGACATTTCTACAACTGTACAAGGCAGGTACAAAGATCGATCTACTCTTCAAGAAAAAGTTGTTTCAAAAACACAGAAGCACTCAAAAAACCCAAAGTCTCAAGGTCTCCCAACGTTCTTCCAAGAAAAGAGATAAGCTTTTAGAATGAGTGAATCAATGAAAAATATCTAATGCTCCGAGTAAGACTGAACATGATTATTTTGCCTATTCTCAGCCATCGTAAATCAGTTTTATAGTTTCCTTGCCGAACTATGAGCGAGACGTTATTGTCTAGAACTATGATAATAATCATGATCTTTTCTAATTGCTTCTCAAATAAAGCTCAAGATTTTTCAAATAGGGGAAATATATGGATTTGTTGAAAGATTACGAAGTAAAAGACTCAGAAATTATCGGGATTGATTTGGAAGTTTTAACCGTTTTCAAAGTTCAACCTTGATTCGCCATAAGTTTCTTCCAAAATGACCATTTCAGATGCAATAAAGTCCACTACAATCCACAAATCTTTGGCAGTTAAATACATTCTCAAATTTTTGCAGCAATAACGAGTAGGACTTTCTAGGCGAAAATTGCCATCCTCCTTTAGAAACCTCTAGTTTAAGATCCATAACTTGATTGGGACTGTAGTAGGATTGCCCTAGTACCGCTCATGGTCTAGTCAATAGTCGGATGAGCACAATTCTGCTAACCGGAGGGTCCCACTAATTACGCTCTTTCTGAGGCAGAAAAAAATGCACTTTTTCGAAAATTTTGATTTCGTTCGCCTCTGACAACTAAAAACCTCATTTGTTCTTCTAGCAGTAAATGTTCTAGGCCTAATCTTATTATATACAGTGGAAG